AGATAAAAAAAAAGGTTAAACCGTTAAGGAATCGAGGTTGTGACGTGAGAGTGAGTGATTATTGGGTTGAAGGGAATAATTTGGCTTAAAAGTTAGCTTTCTTTTTTTCTTTTTTTTTTTCCTACTTTCAGTTTCAGCTTTTTCTTTTTGGTTAATACGATGAATGGGTGTAATGTAATTGATTGCAAATTTCATGCCTCATTCAAATTTTCCTAAGTTGTTATTAATTTCATAATCCCCCACTTTATTGTGCATTTAAAAAATTCAGAATTGCTCCCTTAAATTAAGTAAAAGATAACATGTCAAGATTGAAATATAAATAGCTAATATTTATTATTATTATTTTTTTTGAAAAAACAAAGATTGGTTTTATTTTTGTTGGTAGGTGGGATTGAGTAGACTATAGAGGAGAAGATTTGAAAAAATGGTTGGCGTTTGATTGAAAAAGATAGGGCTTAGGGAGTAGGGAGTGGGATTAATTAATAATTAAAGAAAGGGTCATTGATTTTTGTGGATTATTATATATTGGACAAATCAGAAGCTCATTTAATGAATACAGCACCCCTATGCCCTGTTTGTACTACAAAAATATATTGTGTTTCTTCAACCAACGATGGCTGTTTTGTCTCCATGTATGCCCCTCGATTATATACGTGTGTGTATATATGTATGTATGGTTAAATTACAAATTTACTATACGTATGTATATATTTGTATGTATGTATATATATATATATATATATATATAGTTAAATCGCAAGTTTGCTATCTAATGATATTTAATAGGTTCTCAAACTTCAAAAAATGTTGAATATCTAATGATATTTAATAGGTTCTCAAACTTCAAAAAATGTTGAATATATAAGTATCTAAAGTTAGACAAAGTTTTTAGCAATTTTGTGAACTTATTTTTATGTCTAATTGGTCTTTAATCTATTAGAAATTTTTTATAATTCAAAGACCTACCCGAAACAATTCTATTAGGCTAGGTGTACAATTTTTATATCTAATGAGTTTCTAAATTTTTTTTAAAAAATATAAATTTAAATACTATTTGATCATTGTAATTTCGATTTTAGTTCATTTTGGTCGTGTACATTCAACTTTTGTTAGTTTTAGTTATCTACTTTCTTTATGTTGATCCTATTTATAAAAGGTATCATTTTGACATTCATTTTTATTTTTATCCATTATTTTATAATCAATATTTTAACATGACACTTCACTCTATAAATTTTTTGAAATTAGCAATAAATCCATACCAAATGTTTTCGTTGGTACATAAATTTTGTGTTAAAAATTTTGTAAATAAAGATAAAAAATGATCATTTTTAAAAGTACAGTAAATCAAAATAGGTATTTTGAAAATATAAGAATTAAAATAAAAGCACATGGAAAAAAAATGGAAAGGATATGACCCATAATAATATTTTTWAAAAATGTATAAATAATATAAGAAATGGAAAGGAAGAGCACGTGAGGATGGCGTGGGGGGGAAGGGCAGTTGGAATATTGTCAGAGATAGCTTTGCAATTGCCCCTTCCTTTTTAACTCCTGTGGTTGGTGAGTTGACTCGTGTGGTTACTGAGTTAACCCCGAGTCAACTTTTTCTTTTTTCTTTTTTCTTTTCAATTGAATTAAATGATGTGTCGGTAGAAAAGTCATGCTTCCCACCCCTTTTTGTTAATAATAATAATAAATAGAAAAAGTGGCTTCTCATTCAAATTATTTGTTGTTAGGATAATCTCATTATTTTTCAATTACAAATATTTTTTAAGTTTTCAATTATTTTTCGAAGCATATGGCTTTTGCTTTTGCATTTCACTTTTTTTCTTCAAATAATTCAACTGTGGCCTGTGGGTTATTGGACGTAATTTATTTAGGCAAAACTATGAATTTTCCTTTAAAAAGAAAAGACTATATTAAAGGGGAATTTTACTTCTAGTCTAGGCGTTAATGTCGCAAACGATTAATCCTAAATCCTTACCAACTGAGCTACTTCTTGAGCGTGATATTTAATTTCTATATTGTTTTTTCTTTTCTTATTTAATTTCTATATGATTATTTGTTAATTCTTKTTTCTTTTTGTGTAAATAAGATAAAACGAGACATTAATCCTCTCATGGATTTAATTCGAGTTAATTAACAATTACGATTTTCCATTTATTAAAATTCCTATATCTTCAAAACTTTAAAATGAATCAAAGAAATGTGGCATCACAATTTGCACATTGGCTTAGCCCCGGAATTTTGGAGTATTATTGAAGGAGAAACATAAATATTCATATTCGGTCCCATTTTACCATTTATATGACATTGTCTAAAATAACCTTTCTTAAATATAAAGTTAAAATATATATATATATATATAGAAACTGAAAATTTGAAATTTCAACGAAACAAACTAGAAGGTTACTAAAATCTTAATAGTCGAGTTGTGTTTAGAATGACAAAATTAAATGACTCGGTAGATAATGAATCATTAAGATGTTATTTTATTAATAAAAATATTTATAAATTCATTAAAAATATTTTATGATAGTAAAATATTTGGATGGAAAATTAAAGAAAAGAAAACACTAAAATTATATATTTAACATAATATATAGAATATGCTACGGGCTGGACAAGCCGAATATGCTCCCAGCTACGATTTGGATTCTTTCTCCTCAAAGATAGCAAAAAATCGAAAATTCTGTCTCCACCCTCCAAATTCCTTCACATTTCACAACATTTCGATCAGCTTCACTGCCTTAATTTACTGTTTCTGGAGATTTCCACTGACCAATTTTGGTATGCCCAATTCCCTTCTCCTTCTCGAATGTATTTTTCTGAAATTGATCGTCTGGAAGTGGAGGAAGAATCTCCAATTGTTGGAAATTAATTTCTTATCGTTCTGAGTTGTTGTTGTTTTGGGTTATGTTCGTTTCGCGTCATACTTCATTTATGCAGCTTAAGTGTTTGTCTTAATGTCCCAATGGAGAGTTTTGCTGAAACCCATAAGCCTAAAGCCTAAGACTGAGAAGTTCTAAATTTTTTGGTACATTTTTATGGGTTCACCAAGAAACCTCTTTCATTCTTTTATCTGMTGTTGTGTTGAAGCGTTAATTTATCATTCTGGTACTGATGGAGCACCCCATGGATGCGAGTCCTTGAATGGGCACTTTTTTTTTTATTCTGCTGCTGTGGGGATACCTGTCTCCGCCTTTGTAATGATACGAGTARTTTAGGTGTTATCTCTCTTATTTTCGCGTGCTCCTCCTTTTCTTCTCCGAAAAGAAACCAAACTTTTTGTTGATGTGTATTGATCGGTTATTCCAATGGCCTCTGTATAATTACTGCTCATAATACATTAGACAACTGATTGCAATTTGCGTTTAAAACCAACCCTTGATATGTGCAAGCAAGCCTTCTCTACCGGATTCTTTTATCCTCTAGTCTACAAAATAAGTCCTCTGCTGAAACTTAACAAAATTATATTGTCCTAGGTTATTTTACAATTATAAGTTTGCATTGCATGTCACAGTGCGCGCCATAACCAAAAATTTTGAAATTTCTATTTTTTTTTCTGCCATATGTGGTGCAAGGAAACTAACATATGTAAAGGGTCTAAGGTTGGAGGTTCGAATCCCCTAACCTGTTGTCGAACTTAAAAGAAAACAAAAACCATATGTATGCTTCTTGTACTTTGTTCTAGAGAATATTTGTACCTTTCTAGAGGCATATTCAACATTATTCACTTATCCTGAACTGTCAATCTCATATACTTTTGCTCTGTGGGCTTATTGGAGGAAATGAGTCCTAGCTTTAATCTGAGATCGAACTTTGAAACTTCAGTTATTTGACCAATTGTATATTTGCTCTGCAGGTTCAAGAGCAGTAATATTGTGAGTAACGCGTTGATATGGCGCATGTTCTTTCAACTTCATGCTGTTTAAAGCTCTCCTCCAGCAAAAAATCTCACTTCAAACCATCAAATGAGAATTTAACCTTCTTTTCTATGTCATTTTCGAAAATGTGTAAATTACCAATGCCAAGGCTTGTCCGGCAAGAAAAGAGACTGCCAAGAAATTGTGTTGTCCGAGCAACCGCAGTTCCAGCAAGCCAGGAAGCCCCCACTCAACTGAGCTCTGGATCTCTTGATGCCTCAAGTGGATCGTCCAGGACGCAACGGGTAATGGTCATTGGTGGAGATGGTTACTGTGGTTGGGCTACTGCGCTCCACCTGTCTAAGAAAGGATATGAGGTTGCGATCGTCGATAGCCTTGTCCGTCGTCTCTTTGACCATCAACTTGGTCTTGACTCATTGACTCCCATATCCTCCATCCACAATCGCATTCGCTGCTGGAAATCTTTAACTGGGAAGACTATTGAACTCTTCATTGGTGATATTTGTGACTTTGAGTTCTTATCAGATGCCTTCAAGTCATTTGAGCCCGATGCTGTTGTCCATTTCGGTGAGCAACGTTCTGCTCCATATTCAATGATTGATCGATCAAGAGCTGTATTTACTCAGCACAACAATGTGATTGGAACTCTCAATGTGCTTTTTGCTATTAAGGAGTTTAGAGAAGAGTGTCATTTGGTGAAGCTGGGGACTATGGGAGAATATGGGACTCCAAATATTGACATTGAAGAAGGCTACATTACTATTACTCACAATGGAAGAACAGATACTTTACCTTACCCCAAACAAGCAAGTTCTTTCTATCATTTAAGTAAGGTTCATGATTCACACAATATAGCATTTACTTGCAAGGCTTGGGGGATTAGAGCTACGGATTTAAATCAAGGAGTTGTTTACGGATTACGGACCGATGAGACAGAAATGCATGAAGAGCTGTTTAATAGGTTCGATTATGATGGAGTCTTTGGGACTGCATTGAATCGTTTCTGCGTACAGGCTGCTGTTGGTCATCCTCTCACTGTGTATGGCAAAGGTGGTCAGGTAGGATCCACAGCTATGGTTTTATTTTTTATGTAGCAACGAAGAATTTTCTTTGAAGTAAGATTGATATATGATTACCACATTTATTATTTAGTTCCTTACAAGAATTATTATTAACTTGAGCTCGTTTAACCTTTTGATATCATTTTCCGATCATGCATCCAGACCCGGGGATACCTCGACATAAGAGATACAGTGCAGTGTGTAGAACTTGCCATTGCAAATCCAGCACAGCCTGGGGAGTTTCGCGTCTTCAATCAATTCACAGAACAGTTTTCTGTCAATGAACTCGCGTCTCTCGTTACCAAAGCAGGAGAGAAGCTTGGGCTAAATGTGCAGACCACAACTGTGCCAAATCCAAGGGTAGAAGCAGAGGAACATTACTACAATGCCAAGCACACCAAACTCATAGAGTTGGGTCTAAAACCACACCTTCTATCAGATTCCCTACTTGATTCGTTGCTCAACTTCGCAATTAAGTTTAAGGATCGAGTCGACACCAAACAAATAATGCCGAGTGTTTCATGGCGAAAAATAGGAGTCAAGCCGAGGACTATTGCTGCCTAGTCAAGTACTTAATTTGATATGTAGCAGCCAGATCTTGCAGGTTCCCACAAACTGAGATGTTGTGGCGCTCATCTTTTTGTAGGCAGTATGTAAATCTGAATCAAATCTGAATCAAAGTTTCCCACAAGTATTATCATAATGCCTTACTGATTTGAGGGTGAACAATTCTATGTATGAGTAAAGTTATATACGTCGATATTTCTTCTAACTTAGTAGATTGAATCTATTTGAAGGATTTCATCAAAATATTGATGAAAATGTCAATATCAAGTAAATCATGAATACTAAAACTCGGAAAACATGTCTATGTAATTCATCAGAATCTAAAAACAATGTTTACAAGCAAGGGAAGGTTCCGTTTGATCTTCTCGAAATAGAATTATAACCGAGAACGACCACCTTTATCAGGCATTCTGCAGAGCTGCAGCTTGGACATATCTTTGTGCAGATGAAGATTTTCTTTAACAAAGTTCACAACAACAGAAGCCAATTCACCTTGGTGAGAAGTATAATCATGATCAGCTCGTTCTATGATGCAAAGATCATGATTTGCTATTGACTTGGAAAACTCAAGAGCATCATCAGCAGGTACAATTTCATCCATTGATCCATGAACCGTCATCACCCTGAAAAATGAAAGTGAAAAATGAACATCGCCATGATCGTAACAGAGACGATAAAATAATAGAGCTTTATTCCTAACCTACAGTCACCATGAATTGATAAGCATGATGCACGAACATCAGTAGTTAGTCGGTCCATCAAACTTTCTTCAGTGACACGATACTCAAACTTCCCTGATTATAGAAACAAGAAATGGAAGAAATTAGTTTCTAAATATAATGTGGAAGTTGGAAGGTCCTTTCAAGTAGAAATGGAGATGATCACACCAAAACTAGGGTCTTTGTGTCATTTTACGGGTGGAACTATAACGATGTTGAAGCAGAAACTAGAATTTGATGGCTTACCTCTTCTATTCTTGACATCAATAAATCCTTCTTGCTTAATTCTTTGTAAAAAATCTCTACCTAAGCGACCTTCAATCCCTCTTTCAAGGTTAAATCGACCAGATATATTAACAACTATATGAATGTCGCCATACTTTGAAGCATACAAAAGAACAACATTCCCCCCTGCAGTGAAAATTCAAATAAATTTTGGTTACTGTATGTTCCCTCTCATGGAAATGTCTCCGAAGTGCTGATTAAGTCTTCAACAAATTACACAAATTCTAAAAGTTGTCATTTATATTACGGATCAATTCTGCAGAATGGGCAAGGATAAGTACCTTTACTGTGTCCAATTATTGCGGTTATGGTATGTTCATTACCACGGAAATGTTGCACTACAGCACGTAAATCGTCAGCCTCTCTGCGATAGTTGCCATATTGAAACAAACCTTCACTTTCTCTGCAAAACATAGAACAAAAAGAGATCCTTTTAATGCTTGAATTCGAATTATATCATTCTCGTGTAGAAGGCAATAGGAAAGTTCAATCATAAATGATAGGATGGCTCATGTCAAACGCCCAAAAAATATAGTGGCGGTTTCCCTAACAATTTGAAAATAGAACATCTTCAAGCAAAGATTTCTAGATACAAGTGAACTAAACAACCTGAATTAGTGAATATCCATCATTATCTATATTTGAGAGCGAGGGTGTTTGTTTGTATCAAACAGGTAAGATGAACAAAGTGAAGAAAGCTCTTTTCTCCTAATAAAATTAGTTCTTCAAATCAAGCAGTCTAATGTAATCTAAGGAATCAAATTATATCACTCCTAATGCCCACAGTAGCCAGAGAAGCAGACCCAAACCTGAACTAGAAACAAAAAGTAAACAGAAACGCCTTACTGAAACTAAGAACAAAAATCTATTAACCAAAGTAATTAGGCACTATAGCATGCATAATATACGGGAAGTGAAATCAACCTAACCTATGGTCTTTAAAGCAGGAATTGAATAGAAGTTAAAGCATATAAGGAGAAACTTTGATAGTAATACACTTCAGCAGAAACTCTCAGTAACTTGAGTGTTATAGCAAATCAAATATGCTTGATTCCATAAGAATCAAAATATGGTAAGTTTGGCCAAATTTTCACATTTTCAGCAGCACCCTCTTATTGATCATAGGTAAACTTTAGCCATACATTTTCAATCATCTGGTGAAGAACCATGTTCTTCAATTTTGCCCTCAAGACAAAACTTCAATATCCCATCCATTATTCGTCCTAAGAGATCTTACCCATTTCCAGCAAAGTCAAAGCGGAAAACACTGATCCCTTCTCTATCAAAAGCAGCAGCGAGGTTCACCATAGGAATGCGCTCCTACAGGTTACAGCTGATACTAATGAGCAAGCCAAGATTGACATGAACTGGAAAGAGAATAGCAGAAATAGCACTCATCACACTCAGAAATCTAACAAGCACAGGTTAACGAAGCCATGAATTCAACAACCTTCTCAGCAACACATTGTAATTCCCAGAAAAAAAAAAAAAAAAGAACTATAAAACATGATGTGAAGTATCTTGGGTAGTAAAAATAAGAGTGGTTTTTGTTCTGTATTAAAAAAGAATCTAATAAATAAAACCTTCGAGGACTGAAATCCATGGCAGACAATAACAAGCTCGTCTGACCCCGTATCATGCAAGATTCCTACAAGCTTCTCACCATGATTGTTCTGTATCACAACTCTGCGTTGTTGAGCCACTGCAATGGTAGAAAGTAAAACAAGATAAAATCTGTCCAAATAATGTATAACGTATACAGAATTCTGTTTTGGTTCTCGATGAAAAATGAATAAAATTGAAATTTTCAAGCCTTATACTGACATTGGAGCTTATCGTTTGTTTAAATTAACAACCATTATCTTGAAAATACAATATAGAGTAAAATACGTATCATAAAACAAAATAACATGCCATAAACTTTGCTCTCCCTTTCCGAACAGACGAACTGCAGACCAAACAATATGAATAAAGCACGAATCATTCAATTCATTTGATACATTGAACATTGATTCCCATCGAATACTAACTTGCACAGACGAAACAACGTATCAGATTCTGCAGCAGCACCTTTCCTGGAAGATCCACATCAAACACATTGTTTGATTAGAACAATGAACACGAAGCTCCCATGTAATGGGTATTTCAAATATAAGTTCCCCGGCCATGGTCGAATAAAGAAACTGAAGAAAAGTAGAGAGAAAAGAAAGGAAATCTGAACTTCTCCTCCGCTATTTGGAATACGCCGAAAAGCCCTTATGAGATGATTGAACAGGGGTCGGGAAATGGATGCTGTTCATCAACTGTTGTGATCGAATTCTTCGCATTCAACAGCACCCCTTCCAAGCCGATTCGATTCATTGACCCCTCGCGCCAAATCCGGAATTGTATTCTCAACTTTCAAGCTGAAATTTTTGTTTTCTAACCAATCCTCAACCCAAATTCCAACCCTTTATTACAATTTTGTTCAAGTCACCCCTATTGTCCAATCGTTGGTTGATTTGGTAGTTAAATTTGGGATTTTTCTTTTATATGCTATTTTGTTGTTATTATTATTTTTAGACAAAACTATTTTGTTATTTATTTATTGAAAATTAATGCTTAAATTTGACAAACAAAACATATTTGCTCAGTCTCCAATAATTTATTTATTCTTGCTATGCTTGCTTTTTTCAACAAAATAAAAACACCATTTCTAAAATACTTCGAAAACATTCTAAAATACTTTAAGGCAATACTTTATTAACATTTTTTTTCAACAAGGATTATAAAAAATACTTCATTTTTTTAATACAACATAGAAGTTAGATTCAAACTCATGACCCGAAGAACTGTAAATGGACTCTTATAAGCCCCCCAAAAAAAAAAAAATCAAAGTATGTATCGGAGATTTCATCCAGGGACATCCCATGCTGCTTTTTTTGTAAGAATAAATGCAATGGAAGAAAGAGAGGCATAAAAGACCAACGTGATTCTCAAAAACTATACTCCCATCCTTGGATATAATCGTAGAATAAACATAAATGCAAAATCATAGGCCGGGGGGGCACCTACACAAGTAGTTTCTTAATGTATGTATGTGAACCAAAAAAAAATTATTTTTTGAAGTATGGAAACAATGGAAGAGAAGCATAAAGAAAAGGCAATGAACTCCTCTAACCGCTACACTGACTGCGATTCACCTCTTCTACAGCTAGCAATCAACAATTAGATGCATACTGATACACAAATTAGTGGCAGCTACAATCAGCGGGAAAAAAAAGAAAAGAAAGAGGCAACAAAGGCAGCAAGGAAGTTACTATATTCACAATGAATAGAACCAAGATAAAAAAAGGCACCGTACTGCTAAGATCCAACAGGAGCAATGCCTTTAGCCTTGGCTGCAGCAGTTGCTGCCGCAGCAGCTGCGGCTGCTGCTGCAGCGGCAGATGCAGCAGGGTTTGGTGCTGAGGGCGGCACAGGGTTGGACTGCGAGCTACTCTGTGTGGTGGAAACTAATGGTTGATGTTGTTGCTGCTGCTGCTGAGAGTTCACTTGGGCAAGAAGCGCCGTAATCTGACTACCAGAGAGTGTTTCGTGTTCAAGCAAAGCATTAGCAAGGGCATGGAGCTCCTTGTTATGGGTAGTAAGAATTGTTTTGGCATTGTTGTAAGCTGCTTCTAAGAAGTTTTTCACTTCCTTTTCGATGAGAAGCCTTGTTTCTGTGCTCATGCTTTTCCCATTGTCGTCATAATTGTGGGCAACAAGCCCAATTTCTTTGCTCATTCCATACTTGGTAACCATAGCTCTGGCAAGAGAAGTTGCTTGCTGCAGGTCAGATGAAGCACCGGATGTAACTTCGTTTTCTCCAAAAATGAGTTCCTCGGCAACTCGTCCTCCCATGCAAACATTGAGACGCGCAAGCATCTGTTTGCGGGAGACACTAGTCTCATCCTTATCAGGCAATTGTGCAACCATTCCAAGAGCCATTCCTCTTGGGACAATTGTGGCCTTGTGAACCGGAAGCGCTCCATCGGTGTGGATAGCCACAAGGGCATGACCACCCTCATGGAATGCAGTCAGTTTTCGTGACTCATCAGAAATAACAGCCGACTTACGCTCGCTTCCCATCATAATCTTGTCCTTTGCAAATTCTAGATCATCCATGCTCACTGCTTTAGCACCATCCATTGCAGCCTTTAAAGCAGCTATATTGACTAAATTTGCAAGGTCAGCACCAGAAAAACCAGGAGTTCCTCTTGCTATGATCATCATATCAACATCATCTGCCTTCAATATCTGTAAAAGTAGTGTTATTATCATAATTATCGAGCAAACAAATATATTCTGTAGTATAATGCATGTAAAAGTTTAAAATTTTTCCCGTGCCAAAAAGTTTAAGAAAGTGAAATAGGATTAGGAATTAGCTAACGGGATGCCCCTACCTGGCTAAAAAGTTGCTAAGATTTAAATAAAAAAAAATTATGGTAAAAGTATGGTTCCCAAGTGTCAAACCACCTACCCATGGATAGAAGTTCAATCGAGATCAGAACTAGGATATGATGATAAAAGGTTTCACATCTAGCTAAAATTCAACTAATTAACAAATTTGGATAGAACAAAGTTAACCAGTGACACACACACAATGAGTCATGATCGAGATCATAGCCATATCATCCTATAACATCTAGACACGAATATAAATTAATGCACAACCTCATACTGAAAAAAGGCAGAGTCAAAAAGTAGCATAAAGCGCGACAATTCTACTTTACCATCAATATGGTACAGGATATAACTTATTTATATTTCAGTATAAACTGGCATACTAGGCAGTAGTTTTGAAGGAAGAAAATTCTACCTTTGACATATGTGATTCCAGAATCTGCCTTCGTCCTTCAACATCTGGATTAGGTACAACAATGTGGCGATCAAATCGTCCAGGTCTTACTAATGCCTTGTCCAAAGACTCTGGGAAGTTGGTCGCTGCAATGACAATTATTCCTTCATTTTGCTTAAAGCCATCAAGTTCAACGAGCAACTGGTTTAGAGTCATTTTCATGTATTGCTGGTCCTTGGGGTTACGGCTTCCTCCAATGGCGTCAATCTCATCAATGAAAATAATACATGGTGACCGCTTCTTTGCGGCTGAAAACAAATCCCTCACTCTTCTAGCCCCAACACCAACAAACATCTCTTCAAACTCACTGCCACTGCAGGAGAAGAATGGCACCCCAGCTTCTCCAGCAATAGCTCTTGCTAACATTGTCTTCCCAGTTCCAGGTGGACCAACAAGTAGAACACCTTTAGGGAGCTTGCCACCCAAACGAGTGAACCGCTACAAGGTAAATTACAATAAGATAAAAATTAATTGTTGGAGTTGAGAAACCGTTGGCATGGCATAGTATAGCTACATATGATGATGTAATACTAATATCTGAATCAACTCCTATCCAAAAAAAAAATATCTGAATCAACATACCAACTATAACAACAGCCAATCCTGCTGGATATTGATATAGATTAATTGAGGAATAGAATACAACATCGAAATGCTGCTGTATCAGTCAAAAGAAATGGGGTACAGTTATAAAAAAAAATATACGTAAAGATGTAAATTTACCTTGGGATCTCGAAGGTAGTGAACAATTTCTTCAAGCTCTGCCTTAGCCTCATCCACACCCTTGACATCGTTGAATTTTGTATTAGATTCCATGCTAGGTTGCACTTCTTCATTCAAACCAAGGCCTATATAGTTAAGATGATCAAAGAAAATATTATTTCCCCGATTTCAATACATATTTCTATAACGTAGCTCTTCAAAAACAGAGAAACCAACCTTTGCTGATTCCTCTATCTTCAATGAGTGCTCCTACACCAGAAATCAAGAGAAAGGCCAGTGCAATAGTGCGAATTGTACGCCACAGCTGCTCCTTGAAGTGCCCCCCTTCAGTAGCCACCATATGGATGGGAGCACTAGAGGTTCCAAGAATACCATCTTTTGACTGTTTTCCAATATTTCTGAAAGCCGCTATGCCACCAATGCTTTCCTCTCCTCCCCTAGATGCATTCAAAATGCCTACAAAAGAAGTCAGTTACAGGTTACTTAAAGACCTTCATCAAATGTCATTATGTCACTGCCACGACATGGTCCGGAATAGGATTCACATCTTCAAGACAAGAGGGGAAATACAGGCACAAGCAATTTCACCCAGCATTTGAACAACGTCAAAGCTTCAATATTACCACCCCAAAATATAAAATTTGTGAACCTATGGAAAAAGTAACCTAAGATAAAGAAATAAAGCTTACAATAAGAGAGACGATAAATAGAAATAATAAACCTAAAAAAATACAAAAATATTATGCCCACCTCTCTGCAATGTCTCAAGTAGTTCACTTTCATCCAGCCGATCCACTTTCACCAATGCTTTAACATATTCAGAAAGTGCAGTAGGATTGTGATGCAATGATGGCTGAGTTTCAAATAATCTTATCACTGCTTCAGGATCATTTCGACGGAAGAGTTCTTTAAGATGAGCAACTTCACTTGCCTCATCTGCATCACGCACTTTTCGAGCTAGGTTCCCAACATAGCTCGATTGATATCTCTTCTGAGCCGTCAATAATTTATATACTGCATAGCAAGGAGGGTAAGCAAATAAATTAATAGATCATCAAACGATGCAAAATTGATTTCATACCCACATACCAAATACGCATGTATCTGCACGAATTTGAATGAGTTGAAAGAAGGTAGAAAATGGGGCATTAAAAACAAATCTTTTTAACATCAAGGAACACAAGGAGATTGACGAACAAAAGCAGAGAAATAAACTCACCTCCACCACCAAATCCGCCCTTATTGAGGGGGAAATTAGTATTGACCAACGCATTTTTTAACTGTCCGAATTCTAAACTATTCCTCGAAACCTGCAGCAGAAATAACACATCTTGAGAAACCGAAACAGACAATAACATAACACAAGCCAAAAGCATAAACACTCCAACTATTGCACAACCCATTGAGTTACCCTTGACGCTACCAGCGAGGAAATGAAAGGAGGGGCGCTTCCGCTCGGTGATAGACCGAATCGAAAGACCTAAGGTATACATCTTTATCACAAAACCCAACAATTTATGACACCTCCATACACGAACATAATCACAACATCGTATCAAAGAAGCCCAAAACGCTAAAAAAAATGTAATAATCGTTTCGAAAGCTGAAAATCCCAGAACCAAAACAACCTAGGGTTCCCAGCACGAGAAGAGTATGCTCAAGAACGCATATCGCCGGCGACCCACATGATTGCAATCGAGAAAAAAGAAAGGATCTGATAGTATGAGGGTGAAAGATTGAACTCACCCGGGTGATCAGATGTCTCCAAGCCATTCCTTATCCGAAGACCAAAAAATGGTCCGATCTTTCCGGTTGTTCAATCCTGAGCTGCCGGAATACGAAAAGGTTTGATTGCAATGGGTCTACTGCGGGGCGTTAGGCGTTGAAGACGAAGGAAATTGAGATTATGGAAGAGGTGCGGGAAAAATCTACTCTCCAGTCGAATGGCTTCTGCGATTGTCGCAACGCTCCCTGAATCCTGACCATTACAAGAGCAATATCCTCGATTTTTTCAAATGCCCTTTCTGCCCCTCTATTTTGACCCTTTTCCACGAATTCCTTTCGTTTTCTTGCCGTATTTTGGACCGCAGGAACCTGAATGGGTACCCTTGGAAGATATTCCCCCCTCCCTCCATCTCTCTCCTCTCTCCCACCTCCTTCGTTACCAAGTTCTCTGCTCCTACCAGAATTGGGCCTGTCTTCCCCCTTTTTAATGGGCCGGCTCAGGCCTGTTGGGCTTTCCTTTTTATCTCTGGACCATTGGGCCTGTCATCCAACGGAAAACGAAAACGATATGTCGCATTGGTTGTCTGTTTCTCTTATTTTTCACGAAACCAAACGAAAACGATTTGTCGCATCAAAACGATCTGTCGCCTTGTTGTGCTGAGTGAGTGTTTGTAAATTTGGGAGTTAGAAACGAGGTTTAAATATTAGTTTTGTGCTCGTGTTTTATTTTGATCTCTAGCCTTTTATTTTGAATTTTAGAATTTTGTCAACATGAATATAATTCAACTGGATCGTAAGTTTTAATGTTTCATTTAATTCTTTAAATATATATATATATATACTCTACTGTAGGAGTCGAGAGTTTAGTCAATTTTGATCATTAACTTTATTTAATAATTACATAACAGACATATAGGTCAATTTTAAAGACTAACACCTAGTTTTCTATACGCGTGATTTTAATTACACTCATGATCAAGTCAAAACTTATGTACTTAAAAGAAATTTCTATATTAAGCTGAAGAAAATTTGTACACAAGAGTCAATGTCAAACAATAGAGAGCTTATACTTCTAAGCTTTTTTGTAGGGATTTTGCAGATACTTTTTGCGATGAGTTTCTAAAAAAAAAAATCAAAAAACAAAAAGGGTTTTATAAGAAAGAAGGAAAGCAGGGAGCGATTTGGAAAATACTTACTCAAAGACAAATTTAAAAGATCGTTCTGTAGGACTGTTTCTAAAAAGTTGACTGACCTTTTCTCTCAAAATCATTGCTTTCTTTGTTTTTTTTTTCTTATTATAGTATTTATGTGATATCAAAATTTTAAAAACTTAAAAAGAAATGCTGTTAATCAAATATATATATATATATATATATATATATATTTTCAGTATTCTAGCACCTCCTCCAAACAAGAAAACAACGAAATGAGAGAGAGAGAGATTGATTCATCATGGAGATACCGGTTTGTGTTTTTTAATTTTGATTCTTCTGTCTTTAGTTTTCAGTTTTTAAAAAATAAAAATCATATATTTTATAGCGGTTTTTGTTTTTTATTTGTAAAAGAAAAAAATAAATATGTTTTATAACATGTTTGGTTTTCTATTTCGAAAAATTTAGAAACTTATAAGATATATACGTTAAAGAGAGAAAAATCATGTCGAGTATATAAAGTATTTTTTTAAAACAAAAAATTGAATCTGTTGACAATATGTTAAAAAAAAAAAGAACAACAAAATAGTTATCAAATGAGCCCGTGTTGTGTTTTATTTTGTAGTTATTGTGTTTACTGTGACAGTATTCTATTTTCTATGTATAATTAAGATTAGACTATATATTCATTTTGAACTTGAAAATTTAGCTAATAGAGATTATAGATTATAATATTAAAAAGGAAAAAAAAAGCATAAAAGAGAGTAAAAACAAGTATAACTCAGCAATAATAGATACATTCAATCTCCCACCACCATGTGTTATACTTAGAAACGAAAAAACAAAAACATAGAGATCAGCTATTAAACGAGCTTTTCTTTTTGGACGAATTAAACAACATATAATTTTTAAGAAATAGGGAACAACTCAAAACATAGTAGCTATCAAATCGGCGTGTACAAACTAAATAGTTCGTTTTATTGTCCTCTATCTCGGTTTTCTTAAGCTATAAACTTCTATAAAAACAACATGAATCAAAATTAATATATTAAACCAAGCCTTCTCTCATGGATATTCTTCCTTATTATAAATAGTATTTTTTTAATGAACAAAAATAACCTAATGAGGTTCGATAACATTTTGATCGAGATGATAATATTTTAATTACGAATTGAGCTAATGCCAAATAGTTCACAGTAAAAGTCTGAAATTACTCTAAAATACATACATTTAATTCCTTGTTTGATCATATAGCTTCAAAATTATTAAAAATAGAGAGAGTAAAATTCGGTCTATTCAGAAAGATAACCAAATTAATTAATTAAATAATTAAGCAACTAATGACGCCAAAATGTCGTCTGGGTTTGATGATTCTGGTGCAGACCAAACAGTGAAGAAGAGTTCAAATTCGACATGTCGTTTATCTCATCCTGGAAGATGTGATCTGAGCTAGCCAATGCTCTCAGCCCCAAAAAATCCCTCGTCTCTCCGTCGCTGCCGCCGCCGCCACCGCCACCACCTTTACCGACGTCTCTATCCACCCCATTCATCAGTATCCCATTGAGAGCTTCTTCAAACGAAGCCTCCTCAAAACTCATCATATGATGCAAAAACGAAGAAGGTGGAAGAGGAAGAGGAGAAGAATTTTCAGCAAGAGACGTCGTCGACGATGACTCCCATGCAGGGCAAGACCCAACAAGTGGACCCAAACCCGAACCCACCAACCCGAACCCGATGGGAGTAGAAGTAGGGTTGGTGGGGTTAGGGTTAGGGTTTTGTTGGAGCAAGAGAGGGTGGTGTTGCCCATTTTCCAATGTAGAAAAATGAAGTGTAGGATTACTATTATCATTATTGGATGAGGGAATTATTTGATCATGAGAGATCAAAAAAGGGTGGCCTTTGCCTTCTTCTGTTTTGATGAGTGGGAATAAATTAGGGCGAAGAAATGAAGGGAATAAAGAATTGTTATTCATGATTGATGATGTAACTGTGCTACTTTCCTGAGCCAAAGCATCACAAAATGCTCTGTGGGTTATGAAACTGTCCCTCCTACAAAACAAAACAAACATAAAAGAACAAAAATTTATTACCACCCTCATAAATTTCTCTGCACAAAAAACAGTACTACGCATGACATTATGTTTATGAAGAATTTGAAGTTCATTTGATTAAGCAAATTTATTAGGTTACCTTGAGAAGAGGGTTCCACAATCGCATCTATACTCTCTAGTGCCACAAATCTTGGAGTGAGCTTTCCAATCTGATTTAACAGCATATCGCTTTGAACACTTCTCACATTTCCACTTCTTCTCGCCGTGCTTCCTGCAGAAGTGCTTCTTGATCCCGGTGAGGTCGCCGAGAGCCCTCGACGGGTGATGGTGCACGCACGTCACTTCCGGGCACACGTACACCTTCTTCCTCACTTCCTTGTTGTTGCCTCTTTGCTTCAACTTCCCTGGCAGGTTATGCCCTCTCTTGTGGAGTTGAAGGTTCTGATCTCTCTGAAATCCCTTGTTGCAGATCTCGCAAATGAATCTGTTCGTCGCCAAAAGCGCTTTTGGAGACAAGGCTATCACTTCCGCTCCCGGGTCTGATTCGTAATCAAATTCCACTAATATAATTCACCGCCAAATGACATTACAGTATAGCTCAAATATAAATATGGAATCAAGCTGATAAGTTAGAGTAAATTTTCGAAACCTGGGTTGCCAGGAAGATTCCGTTTCCTCTTCGGATGTTGATTTGTAGAAGCAGAGGAGTGATGAGAATACAGAGGGTCGGTGGCAGTTTCATTTCTTGTTATTTGATCAGCAGATGCACAAGTAGTCAACACAGACAAATTCTCATCCACCATTAAATTTCCTTCCATCATCATGATCTTCTTCACTTCATTAAATTAACTGCAAACCCCTTCATTAAATGACATCAGTGGAAAGAAAACAACAACCCTTCAGATAGATCTGAATATAAAAACCCCTAATTCAGAAAAATTAAAAAAAAAAAAAAAGAAGAAGAAAACTCAGATATAGATCACTATAAGAAGCTTTGGATTTTCCCAAGTTGTTCTAAGATTTAGATCTTCACAAAAAACGAACAAAGGGCAAAAAGGAAATAGAGAGAAGTTTCGTTTGCATGTGAGAAGAAAGTAAATAAAATGGAAATTCCACAGGTGGGAAATGGAATAATTATGAAAAAAGAAAAAAAGAAAAACCTTGTACCAGTGGCTGCCTTGAATGTTTTCAACAACCTTTCCTGCTGGCTGCTGCTAAAAGCCTAAAACCGAGAAGCTTTCAGTACAAAACCACAAAAAGAAAAGAACCCAATTTCCTTTCTCAWACAATAATTTAAAACAAAAAAACAAAAAAACATTACTTTGTAGAGAGAGGGAGAGAGGTTGCTGTGGAGAGATCTGCAGAAATCCAACAACAGTAGGGCAGGGCAGAGGTTTTGATGTCTTTTTCTATGTTATGTTTCTGTGTCGAAATTTTGATAAAAAGAAAAAGAAAAAGGGAAAAGAAATGAAAAAAAAACTTGTTCTGATCCTCAAATAATTGGAGCAACTTTAAGTAATTTAAAATTGAAGAGAACCCCACAAGAAAATTAAGCCTGTAATCCACGTTTGACACTGGCCAAAGTAGGAATTATTAAAAAACACAAAATAAAGTTGGATTATTAATTATATATATTATGGACTTTTTAATTTAACACGTTCACGGGCAAAAGTAGTGAAAAAAGATATATAAAAAATCTATAAAAGTAGGGAAATTAAGTCGTCTGTTTCTGTCTCTGCTAGCTGCCCCTCCTCTCTGGCATGCATGATTGGTTCAGTGATTGAATCTCACCGCACCATGCTCATTGCTCAGCATTTTATTTACTTTATCAAAATTCTAAACACTAAATTATATAAAATGTTTTGGGTTGGTTTCATTTCAACAGGTTCTCGTTACTCCCATGAATTAACATTTTTATTGGATTGCAGTCTCGCATGGATTAGGAAATAGAGTAATCTATATTTTTTTTCCTAGGAAATCAAAAGTAACGTCATTAAAATTATASTAAATGGTTTTTTATTCTAATTCTAAATTTTCTAATAAACAACGGTAAATAAACTGAGGCCAAGTTAAAACTTTCAAATTTTGTCCATTTTTTAATTTTTAAACAAAAAAAGGACAAATTTTATAAGTTTGTTAGTAACATCAACTTTAGCTTAGCTTTAAATGACATTTTCATATGGTAAAGAGACTATGAGTTTGAATTTTTCTATCTTCACTCGTAGTACTTGAACAAACAAATTTATAAGTTTGTTGCTATTACTTAACATTTTTCAAATTCTAAACTCTCCGCTCGGAAAAATCCCATTTTGGATTTTAGTCAGAAAGCTAACAAAAGGGTTTTTTTTACCCAAACTAAGAAACCAAAAACACTATAAAATGCTTTCATATATGTTTAGATTAGAGTATTTTATAGGTACAAATTAGACGAAAGTGAAACAGCTGTAATAATTTAAGGCCTATATATACTTTGAAGTTGAACCCCATCTCTGATTGATTTTGTATGTTTTGGAAAAACGAGAGGAGGGGATAGAAAAGCGTGGAGAAGTCATTTTCAAGGGGTCTTTTTTGAAATGGAAAAAACCAGAGCAGCAAGATAAAGTGAGAGATGGAAAGTGATGTATTAGAGAGAGCTAGGCCTGGCCGTGGCTGGCGGTACATGGCTAGCCGAGTTCGGTCCCCGGTGCGGCGCTGCTGCCCAACCCATAACCAGTACTCTCTGCGCTCTCCTACCCTCTGAAAAAGATTGATGTTTTGTTGTTTTTGCACACCCCCACTCCCCATCTTAAATTATTTCATCATCCCTAAAAAATGTATATGCTTCATTTCCCATTTGTAGGAGAGCAAATATCCCGCGTTGGAAAGGTACTGTGATTCGTGTGAATCAGGAAGGACCATCTTGTAAAACTAAATAGCTCCTAAGTGAGCGATGATGAAGTGATTCCTTTAGGGAAGGGTGAAAAGAAAAATAGGCTTTGAACCCGTGCATTTAATTATAAACTGAGGTTTTTATCTTTTCGATTTGAAATCCTTAACATGATAGTGCTCATTTTGAACTAAATGTATACACCAGATTCCATCTCAAAATCAATGACTAATAAGAGAATTTCTCATGTATTTATAGATTTTTGTTAAATCTTTTGGTTTTTTGGGTGTGAAATTATCCTTAGGACACTGGAAACTATGTGCAAACTTTTTTTCGTCGTAAATTACTTGGGTTGGGCAATGTTTTAAATCTCGATATTGATGTAAATGTCGAAGTTTCAATTGCATGAAAATATCAATAAAACGTCGATGTAGATTGATATTTTTTTCGTAGAAGTTAGAAAAATTAAGAAATCGTAAAAAATATTTAAATTAACAAATAAATATTTTAAGAAATAAATTAAAAATTACTAATATTAATATATGTATATATTAGTGAAATTTTATCGATATTTTTCATATTTTGTCTATCTTTTGTACTAATGATAAAATTTCAATATCGAATCCATAAATACATAAACATATCAATAGATATTTAATACCATAGCGTGGGTACGTGCATTTTGTRAATAGTGATGGTGAAAACGATGTATATTCTTCTCTCACTTTCATGGAACAAAAACTGATAACCCCCACATGGGATTGGGGGAGCTGTTTTGGGTGTGAGAGAGAGCAAAAATTGGAGTTCTCGAGCTTTTTATTTTGCTTTTATCTGCCCTCCTACGAACTTAGGCTTTAGCTACTCACTTTTTTGCTTACACATTTATGTATTAACCATTAACAAAAAGATGGAGACTTTCTATATTTGTGTTATTGCAATTACATTACACTATTGCTCTTTCCCCTTTTTCTTTTCCTTTCTAATTTTGGTGTAATTTGCTAAATTGCTAAAGACGATATAAAAGTAGGGAAGTTTCAACTCTTTTGAAGATGTGTTTGATTCTCCCGTTGAAATTTGATATAACAAATAATGTCGTTGTGGATTAACGCTTTAAACGTGTCGCTGATACAAAAGTTCTCGTCGCAATTATGAAAATGATGTCATTTTGATTTTCATTGGAGGAGCATTGCAAATTTTGATTTTTTAGACCTGTTGACCAAAATTAAATTTCTCTATTTTTATTAAAACCTTTGTTTTATCCCTCCTCCCATTAATTTATTTCCTTAATATTGCCAATTCAAAACTTGCAACTCCAAATTATTTTTATTATTATTTTCAAGAGTTAAAGGAGAAAAGGACAAGGGAACCAACTCCACCAAAACGGTGCCGTTTTGTCATTGTGTAAAGATGGATATAAAGGTAAATCCCAACCAAGCCCACCAGCATGGCATTGTCCATAATTTCGCAATATTCTTTACATTTTTATTATCATTATTCAGTTGCACGTAACTTTCACTTGTCCATTAAAAAATAAAAAAAATAAAAGACCATACTAATGGAGCTGCACCAATTATTGTTCTTTATCACAAGTCAAGCAAATAATTATATTTATTTTATTTTTTTCTTAAAACAATTCTTGATTTTTGAAAGATATTTTTTGTGTTGCACTTTTTTCACCTTCACCATTTTCGCAATCATGTCAAATTTACCTTACAATTTTAAAAATGGGCAGTTGCGTGTATTAAAAATAAGCTCTCTTTATTGTAAATATATCAACCATATTCTGAATCGGTAAATATAGGTAAAATAAAATAATGCTCGATCTAAAATTCACTCTGAAAAAATACAAAAATTCATTGAAACGTATGTCAATTTATTATTGAGAGACTATATCACTAACATATCATGTCATTCATAAATATTTAAAAGATTGCATTAGTAGTAATAATACGAAAGGATTATATCAATATTGAAAAGCGGACATATCTTGACTTTACACAACAATATAAATCCGGGTTTGATATATACATCAAAAACACATATAATGAGATTAAACATTTAATTAATTATTAATAATACAACCTACAAAAGATAATTGGCCAAAAAATCAGTTTTTAGGCGTCGGGTTGGTGTTACAGAGAAAGCGAGACCGACATTTGTTGTGAAAACCAATCCAAAGAGATTGATARAATAATTTGTTGGTTTGGTCATTTTCCACGTTCAATTCGAGTGATGGTTTGAATGTCTAATAATTTCCATTTTAATTTTCTTCTCCCTCGTGCTCCATTATTATATCTTYCCAGCTCATCATTTCTCTCTCTGGATGGGGTGATCTGACACAATGAATTTGAGACAAGAGAAGAGATATTTTTTAGACTCAATAATATAGTCAATTTTAATATAATTYAATTAGTTAAAATATATTATTATCGATTTAAATCGTGATTTCAAAACTCAACCTTCATCCTGGTGTTGCACTAAAAAAAACTTATAATAATTAACCTAACAATACAAATCTTTTTTACTTACACCATATCGATATTTTTATGAAATTCTATYATAAAGACTGAAATAAATGCATGATTTGAATTGCAACATTATAAAACAAATATTTACTTAATTTTTTTGAGTACATATTTACTTAAAGATGTCTGAATTAAAATAAACAAAAATTGAAAATATAACTTCAATCTAAACTATAAAGTGTACAAAAATCAAAATATAAAAAAGAACATTTAAACTTATTTTCTATACGTATAATTTGAATAAAACTTGGAATTTTTATAAAGACAAAAAGAAAGTTAACRAATAAGTAAAATTTATCACAGAGAGTCAAATCTTTCCACTTATGGTGAACTACCAACTTCTTCTAATTTTCAACTGCGTATTAGAAAAATCTGCAAGTTGAAGAAAGAGCTGCATAAAGATCAACGAGCAGGGGTCAGAGATGAAGTTAACGATTTGTCGGGTCGATCCTCCACGATTTCCGCCTTGCCCTAGCCGGAGAATACAGCAAATCAGCAGATCTTACTTGCCTCCGCCATTAAAACCAGAGAATGAAGAAACCCTTAATTTGGGTTGTTCCACTGTTCTTTTGGCTGGCTTATTATGGAGTTGAAGCAGCCTCTTATCAGCCCTACAGAACCGCCTTTCACTTCCAGCCTCCTAAAAATTGGATGAATGGTAAAAATTCTTATAAAAATTTTCTCRTTCATTTGGCGGATTGTTTCTCTATTTGGAATCGACAATCTACCCTACTGATTCAATTTATTGACGTCTTTTGTTGGGCTTTTTTTGGCTGATGATGACCCGATAGATCCCAATGGTACACTTTCCCCTCAAATTTTATTCATGATTTCTCTCTTTTACCTGTAGACATGTTGTAATTAGTCATTAACTGCAGGACCGATGTATTATAAGGGGGTTTACCATCTGTTCTATCAGTATAATCCTTACAGTGCAATTTGGGGCAACATTACTTGGGCCCATTCARTATCATATGATCTTGTTGATTGGGTTCATTTGGAGCATGCTCTGTATCCAACAGAACCGTATGAAGTCAATGGTTGCTGGTCTGGTTCTGCAACAATTATTCTTGGTGAAAAACCAGCTATCTTGTACACTGGAGCCAACTTCAAAAATCAGCAATTTCAAAATTTAGCTGTTCCTAAGAATCCGTCTGACCCTCTACTGAAGGAGTGGATTAAATCCCCTCATAATCCTCTGATTGTCCCTGTTGATGACATTGATCCTCAGAATTTTAGGGACCCAACGACTGCTTGGCTAGGCTCAGATGGGTTATGGAGGGTCATTGTTGGAGGGGAGATTGGTGGTCGTGGAATGGCGATTCTGTACCGCAGTAAGGATTTCGTTGATTGGACTCGGAGTAAGAGTCCGCTTCATACATCAACCGAAACCGGGATGTGGGAGTGCCCGGATTTTTATCCGGTGAGTATCAATGGTAGTAATGGACTTGACACTTCTGCTGAGGGTAAGTTAGTAAAGCATGTGCTCAAGGCAAGTTTTCATGACAATGACCACTATGTACTGGGAAGTTACGTGCGAGAAACGGACACATTTTCAGTTGAAACTGACTTCTTGAGCAATGGATCTGATATGCGATACGATTACGGGAAATTCTATGCTTCCAAATCATTTTATGATAGTGATAAGGAGAGAAGAATATTGTGGGGATGGATAAAGGAATCAGATAGCGAAGCAGATGATATTGGCAAAGGATGGTCTGGCCTTCAGGTAGTCTTCTGTCTCTGCGCAGTCATCCTTAGTTAATTTGATTGAGCTTGATCATAGTTCTGATCTTCTGATACAGTGTCTTGTTTATTTTAATAGCTCATTTTATGTTGCTATTTCATTTACATTTCACAGTCAATTCCTAGAAGTATTTTGCTTGRTGAATCTGGGAAACAATTGGTGCAATGGCCGATTAAAGAAATCGAGAAACTACGGACAAAGCAAGTGAGTTTTGATGATATGGACCTCAAAAGTGGTTCAGTATTTGAAGTCCCGGGTATTACGGCCGCTCAGGTAACTATTCCACGATTCATTCCACAAACTATACTCTCAAAGAAATGCAGAACTATTGGTTGAATAGAAGTAAGATTTTCACATGTGCTTCCTGTATGCAAAGGCCGATATCGAAATTTTGTTCCGCTTATCTGGTCTCAAAGAATCAGAAGAGATGAACGTGAGTTGGATTGATCCACAATTGCTCTGTAAAGAAAATAAAGCATCAGTGAATGGCATGATTGGACCATTCGGATTGTTGGTCTTGGCTTCTAARGAATTGACAGAACAAACTGCAGTCTACTTTCGAGTATTAAGGAAGCAATACGACAAATATGCTGTGCTCATGTGCAGTGATCAAAGCAGGTTTGTCGATTACTCAATCTTCAAATTTTCTTTTGAATTGCCTTGGTTGTTATATTGAGGCAGTAGTCACAATTTCAACAGGTCTTCTCTGAGGGAAGGGCTTGAGAAAACCACTTATGGAGCATTCGTCGACATAGACCCTCTTCATGAAACGCTCTCCTTAAGAAGCCTGGTATGTCGATTAACACTTGAGATCCATACACGCACAAAAAAAGTGAGAAAACGTTTTTATGTGCTCTTCACTTACTTCTGGATTTGCATTCCAAGGAGGCATTTAATTATGGCAATACGCTACTGCAAAAAGTCAGCATAAATGATCACATATATGGTATAACCGTCTTTTTTTATYCTCTTAATCTAGATTTGGAAGATCAACAAAATAGGAAGAGCATTTCTATCTTGTAAAATGCTCTCTTTTCTTAGGGTACAATGGTCTTTTATGCCTTACCTTTTCTTTAATTATCCTCTTAATCTAGATTTGGGAGATCAACAAAGTAGGAAGAGCATTTCTATCTTGTAGAATGCTCTCTTTTCTTAGGGTACAATGGTCTTTTATGCCTTACCTTTTCTTTAAATTAGTCAATAGAAACTTGCCCTCTAAGGTATTTGTTCAACGAAATTCACATTAGTTTTAAATAACAACTGAGTTCAAATCTTGGAAATATTCTTACCTGTTCAGTTGTTACACTAGTAGACCACGTATAAGTTCACACACGAGGGAGAGTGTCAAGAATATAGCTCTTTTACCTCTATGATATCGAAACCCGAAACACTCGGGTGTTGTATTTTGCAGATAGACCATTCCATAATCGAAAGTTTTGGTGGAAATGGGAAGGCCTGCATCACTGCAAGAGTGTATCCAAATTTGGCCATCAACCAAGATGCCCATCTTTATGCATTCAACAATGGAACTGTGGATGTAAGAATTTCAAAGCTTAGTGGTTGGAGCATGAAGAAAGCCCAGATTGTTCCCATCCAAAAGAGAAGAAAAAAGGCACCCACTTCTTGATATCAAAATTCCAAACCTTAGGTACCACTTTAAACATCAAAGCAATTTCCTTTACTGAAGAATTAGAATCATTATGGCCTTTATTGAACTGAAGTAGTGAACAATTTGGCATATGGTTGTGTTTCCAATTATGCATCCTAGTCAAAAAGTACAGAACACAACAAATTTCCAAAGCAAGTGAAGCATATGACAAGAGGCAGAGTAGAAGACAGAATATTTTATAAATTTAGCTCATTATTCCAACACACGTGACCAAAATTCTCAATGTTGGATGTTTTTTTTTCCACTCTTTCACTGGGCATGAAACAGTGGGCTTTTGACCCAACTTTTCCCCTCCCCTCCCCTCCCACCTATTCCAAATCTCCTACCATCGACACAAAAACAAAACAGTAACTAATTCCTTATTTTCCCCAAATAGAAGAACAGACAMCTCTTTAACCAACCTGGTAAATTTTCTTCGAGACGGGACATAAATTGACTCGTAACGTGGTAGTACAGGGAAAAATAAAACAAAAGATTYCATGACAGTGACATGATCTAAAGTGGGGAAAGAAAGTTTTATAAAGAGGGGCTTGGAATTTAATTAAAGGAGAAAAAAGTTGGGGAGAACCTAAAATCCTAGCATTAAGGAAGTGAAAGTGGGGGCATGGGATGGCATTATAGGTGGTTGTTGGTTCAACTCTCGCTGTCACGAGAATGAGTTTGATGACTAAGACTAAACACAACCTTCAAATTATTTTTTTATTTTTTTATATTATATGTTTTTTAATTTTACTTGTATATAATATAATTTATGTGAGGGGCTGCTGGTGGTGGGCAATAATATAAAAAAAGAAAAAGAAAAAAAAAACCCCAATAATTGCTTTAGGCTTCCTTCCAGTTCCATTCTCTTATATTCTGGCGGTATCTTCATTAGATTCTTCTTACGTTATGCTCCAAAGATTCCATTTACACCAATCACCATCCACTGCATGTTCGCCACGTGTATCTCACAATCTGACAGACACCCCAAAAATGAAAATGCACTATTTATGTTGTTTACTTGGTGGGTGATGCTGTTGTCTGTCATCACCCATGGGTGTGGTTTCCATTTCCAAGGGAGAGGGAAATAAAAGGAGAGTAGCAGTGCAGCAGATTTTTAATTTAGTTTTAATTATGTGGGGCCCTTTGATTTTGATTTTGATTTTGATTATATTTTTAAAATGTGATTGGATGAGAGATAGTGGAGGATTTGGGGCCCCTTTTGTCTTAATTACCCTTAATTATCATCTCCTAATGCTCCCATCTTTGTTTAGTCTTTTCCTTAATTGGGATACATATCGTCAAAACTCTCTAAAAGTGAATCTCTTCCCTCACCCACTCCTTTTTTATTATTCCACAACTTCTTTCTTTTCTTTTGACAATTTTACCCTTCGTTTCTACTTTTATAACTTTTAAAAATTTTTCTATTTGCCTTTTATATTTATTGCAGTGATTTCCAGACAAGTTGTTCGTTCGTTTTATTGATTATCAAATATTAATTGTAAGGACTACAATGGTTAAAGTTTAGAGAGGAAAAAAAACTGGTCTTAATGATACTATAATACTTATTCGTGGACAAATTTATCTGTCGAAGCAAAGTAGCTTATTTCTTTTACAAATTAAGTGACCTGCAAAGTTAGTACTCTTAATGCTAAAGTTAGTAAGTCGCGTATTTAGAAGGAATTTGAACATATCTGTGCAAAGTTTCCTAGCTCTCTAACGGACGATGTTCGATGTTCGATGCTAGATTGGTTTGGTAAGGAAGGCCAAGAGTACCTCCCTTAATTTCAACGAGGGTTAGTCTAATAGTGGGTACTGGCTCCGCTCAATCAATTTTGTCTTTGGTGTGTGCTAATGGAGATAGCAGCAAGACAATGCCAACTTGGCTCATCATTTTCGATTCGAGTCGACATCACTAGATTGGTGTGCCCCTTCAGATGTTCCCAATTTTCCTCCGCATGCCAATATTCACTCTATCTTTYATTTTTTTTAGTGCTTTTTAAAATATAATAATAACAACAATAACAATAATAATCACTGTTGTAAAAAATACTGGAAAAACGCCAGAAAATAAAACGGTGAAAGGTG